TTGTAGTCTGATCTTGGATCCGTCCATGGTTAAATAGTAGCCTATTTCGATTAAAATGGACTTGTATACACAAGTGTAACATGTACGTTATTTCTCCAAATTTTCTCTCTTTTGGAATTCTAATTCATTCTAAAGTCTTCATAGCTTTTTTTAACCCGAAAAAAAAAAGTTTATGAATTTTCCAACTGTCCATTCCTAAAACAAATGGTCCGTCTATTGATGGGGAAAAGATGGGGATTGAAACCGTGCGTGGGGAATTCACAATACACTGCCTTGATTACAATCTCTACCCCCATATGGGTTTAAGTTTCCATCTACGATCAGATCTTGTCTAAACCCTCCTATGAATTCTATCAAAGAGAAAGAAGGTCAATTTACAACCAAAAAAGAAAAAAAAAAAAGGTCTTATTATTCCTACATATTATAGTCCCTTGAGGTATTACTATGTATTTGCTTGTGTTTTATCTTTTACTATTAAAAAAGAATCAATTATTGGATTGGTTTTTCAATAATGTTCAACCAGAATTCCTTTTTGACTACGCATACATTAATTCCACTATTAATTGGTATTTTAACGTGCTTTTATTATTTCATTTCGATATATAATCGATCAAAATATAGAAATTTATATTAAGGACCAAAATCAATTCTTTAATCCGTGTTAACTTACTTTAATGATATAGATTAAGATTAAGCCAATCAACCAAATCACATGTTACTTTTTATTGTTTGCATGGAAAAATAATGGTCCTTATCAATGAAATGTAAATCTAATACAAAAGAATAAAGACCTTTAATAGGATAGGTGGATGTAAATTAGATTAGAAAGCGACACATGGTAATATCACGAGCAAAGATAATATTGTTTATTTTGATGTGTTAGAGTTTTACTTCTTTTATTTAGTTCGTTCATTTTTAACCACGCAAGGTTAGTTGGTCTATGCACGAGCCAATTTCGTTTTTGATTCAAAAAAAAAAAAACATATAGTATTCTGTAAAATCTAATTGATACATTAAACGTGAGTAACTTACTTTTCATGTATTCATACGATAATCCACTTACCGTTTCACACATTAGCAAGGTGACATAGTGTTTTTTGTGATTGGACGTGGCAACCACAAATTTCAGAATTAGTCACTTTCATTCCTTATTTTCAATCATTTCTAGCAAATTGATTAAACCACTTTCTCTATAAGTTGTCCCAATCTATAATATTCTTACGTTGATTATGCATATACGAAGACGTCTATATAAAAAACATTTCATTTTTTAAGTAAATCAACTTAAGTGAGACAACTCTTTTTTTTTCATTATTTATAGCCAATCGAGTCAAGGCACATATATCCTTAATCATCTCTTCAAATCTTTAGAGATAAGTACAAAATTGGCCTCCCTTTGACAAATTTATAAATGATTTATAAAGAAGAAGAATAGTAGGTTCCACAAAATGTGTGAATAATTATAAGTAATTATGAACGTATTGTCGAAATTATTGTTTGATTTTGACTAAATTTATAAATAATTATAAACTGTTATCTAGTAAACTTTTGTATTCTAAACATCTTGTTGTAGAGGCGTTTAAATAACAAACTTTTGGACGAATTTTATCTGAAAGTTAACTTTTGTATTCTAAACTTTTGCTGCATATTTTTGCAATTGTGTGAAATGTTGTGACTAGCAAACATTAATTTTTTCTCTTTGGGCAAGTGTGCATGTCAATTGCTTAGGAAAATAGAATAGGAATTAGGATCTTTTAAAAAATTGAATCATTTTCACAAAATTTTGTGAAAAGACCTCTAAACGATTGACATGTGAGACGTCTTTTAATCAAAGTACGTTACGATCTTATTTTCGATTGTATAATAAAATAAGCGTATATCTTTGTTCATGTTCGAGTTAATTTTCTCACTCCTAACCTCTTTAACAGTCCTTTTTATGTGCACCTTATGAAGGATAAAGGGGATGGAGATTGTTAGACCATATAGCTTAGGTTGCTAGAGAGCTTGCTATCTCTAACAAGGAATGAATTAAATTAAAATGATTCTCAATGAGTTTATAAGAAGTGATTCCACTTTTTCATTGACAAAGAAAGATTCTTAGATACGAGATACTGCAATATTATGGTATATGTTCACGAAATATTTTCTTTAGATTTAAATTACCGCAAGTGTACGGTTCGTTAACAAATAATAAAGTGGATTCAATGAATCCGAGTATCGTCCCACAGAGATTGGTTAGTTCAATTTTACTTATTTGACCTTAACCGAAACCAAATTACTCAAAATGAATGTGGACCTAATTAAAACTCTAAAATTGGAAAGAAAACCCTACTTATGCAGCTTTTATGATTGTAATGAAATTAATAAGCAAAATAATAATTTAAAACTCTAAAATGAAATCAATTGTTGAGAACGCACGTTTGTTGTAATCAATAGAAATTAAACACACTAGGATCACGATTTCCCATGCAATTATCACTTTAAACTTTAGTTTCACAATATGACAACATAATTCAATTGTTGACGAATCAATGTTCCTAAATCTATCCAATACTCTCTCTCGAGATGTATCAAACCTATTTCTACATACCACCGGCCTATATTTCTATGACAAGTGCATATGTAAAAATGTATGTAGTTTTATGAACACTTAAAGATTCACGTAGGACATAGCGGTATATTTCTATCCCCTATCGAATCCTTCGATGATTTATATTATGTCGAATCTATTCCAATTCTCTCGAA